CTGAGTCAGCCTCGGGAGCACAGGTGAAGGCACCTCAGCTGTGTGAGCAGAAGGGCTGCAGCCTGGCTGCGCCTCTCCTGGGCCCCACTGAAGGACCGACTGCCTCTGGGGAAGGATCTCTCTCTGGACGTCGCCCCTCTTGGAGTCTTTTCCCGCGAGCCCAGGTCACAGGTAAGCTCTCAGTTCATTTCTGATTATCCCTGTCTAATGCGACGATCTTTCCAGCCTGACCTCTCTGTATCCTTACTGATTGACATCTGGGATCTGGTTGTTTATGCACTTGGCGAGCCAGGCAGGCCAAAGGTACTGCCAGGAAAGAGAGCAGGGTGGCCGTGGTGGGTGACTCCCTTCTCGGAGGAATGCAGGGCCCCATCTGCAGACTGGACCCGAACCACTGGGAAGTGTGCTGCCTTCCTGGGTCAGGGACATAGCCAGGAAACTCCCCAGGCGGGTTAGGTCCACTGGTTCTTTTCCTTTACTCGTAGTTCAGCTTAGCAGTGAGGACCGGAGGGAATGGCTTCAAGCTACGGCAGGGAAGATTCAGGCTGGACATCAGGAAGTATTAGTGTTCAGAAAGGGTGGTCAGGCACTGGAATGGATGCCCAGGGAGGTGGTGGAGTCACCGACCCTGGGGGTGTTCAAGGAAAGGCTGGATGTTGTGTTGAGGGACATGGTTTAGTGGGAGCTGTTGGTAATGGGTGAACGGTTGGACTGGATGATCTTTTATGTCTTTTCCAACCTTGGTGATTCTATGATTCTATTTCCTAAGCTGTAGGGCTATCAGCTCGCATAGAAAACGAGGAAGAGCCCTGGGAGTCCTTGCCCCGAACCTTGCACCCTATTGAAGGGCAGGGGCACTCTTCTCCAAGCAGCCTGATGAGGTGAGTAAGGGACGGCCGGGCGCTGGAGGGCGGTGGCTGCACCAGTGCTCAGGATTCAGGAAACCACTCCAGTTATGCTAGCCCAAAGAATGACAGTTTGAATATCCCATGCTGTGTCTGCTGTACTGGAGGTAAAGGGAGGGCATTGGCTCTCACCCCAAAGGTTCCTGCAATCCCAGGCCATCCTGGTGGAGCAGGATGATGTAGAAATAATTGTAACTGATGTTGTCAACCCAGTGTTCTTCCTTAGCGGAGCTCCTGGACAAGCAGTATTTCACGACTGCGATGAAAGAACTGAAGCTGCACCTTCCAGCCGGTCAGACCTGTAGGACAAACCTTCAGAAGATGCAGAAGACACCTGGTCTGCCAACGACAGCAGTAAGGCAGGATGTGCAATAGCTGCAACTGACGAGGTAATCGAAGCACAACCATTACCTGAGGGGACTTCCCCTCAAAAGGCTGAAATAACTGCCAGGACAAGAGTCTCAATTACATGGACAGATGCTAATTACATATTTGGGATGCTACACACTTGTAGTACTATCTGAAAAGAGCGAGCATTGCACACACAGGCAAAAGAGCCTGATGTAAATCTGCCAAGGAGCGTGCTGTTACACCTTGTGAAGTACAGCAGAAGGGTCCCACTGTACAGGAAACGGGAAATCAGAGGATGGGTCGGGCGGCAGGACAGGCAATTGAATTGTGTGACTGTGCCAAAATCTTCCTCCAAAGAGTTGCTCTTCAAGTGCTTCTTGCTTTCTCCCTGCCACAAGCTGACACCAGTAGCCGTCCAGTGCAGCGCGGCCATGCAGAAAGGCTGGGGAAGGAGACAGAGCTTGAGAAGGCACCAAGGACACGTACAGGTACACAACAAGCATCTGGACTTGATGCACTGTCTTTCTGCCCAGGCTTTCTGTTTGTTGGCTCCTGGGGCAGTTCTGTGCAGTTGACATCCCAGCTTTCTCCCAAGCTCTGGCTGCACAGAAGTGCAAGCAATCAGAGGAAGAGAAGGAAAAAGCAGAGGAGTGGCCTTCTGAGAAAAGAGCTGAGGGGGAGCTTGAGGCAGTGTTTTGGAGAAGTAGTGCTTTGACTTAGGGTTGTTCTGTGTCTGAGTTTTCCTTGCCCTGGGTTATCACTGAGTGTAGCTGTTTGTTTTCTTGGATCCTGTGCGTGCGTTGTTGGTAGACAGATTAGTGTGTGGAAAAGACAGCTGAGAATCCAGGGCATGGCAATGTACTTCTGCTGGGCAGATGTACTGAACTGCTGGAAGGCTTGTGGGAATGAGAAGAGAAGCTGGATTTCTGTTGGACAGCCCGACTGCATCAGTTCTGCCTCCTTTCACTGAGCTGAAGGCAGTGTGTGTGGAGCCTTCTGATGGGAAACCCACGGTCCCCACAGGGTGGGTGCAGAAAAGAAATGGAGCTGAGATGCATCTGTGTGCTGTGAGTGCTATTGCTGAGGACAGGGAGGAGCCCCAGCTGATAAAAGGGCTTTGGTAAGAACAGTGGTGAAAGCAGGAGTGGATATGGAAGGTTTGGATTGCTCTCGGAGGAACGGTGGAAGGGTCAAATGTTCTGCAGGTTCAGCACGCGCTGCGCCCTGCCTGCGCCCTGCCTGCGCCCTGCCTGCGCCCTGCCTGCGCCCTGCCTGCGCCCTGCCTGCGCCCTGCCTGCGCCCTGCCTGGTTTTTTGTCCTTTCCTTTTTAGGGTAGGAAAACAAATTTCTGGGGCAGGAGAAGAAGAAATGCAGCAGTCTTCTCTGCACGGCTCATTTTGCGTGAGTTGCCAGGTGCTCCTGTGGTAATGGGTGCTGATGAGCCAGCCTTCGTGGCAGGGCTGTGGCTTTATTTTATGTCAGAATTTGAGGCCTACGATTTTCCCACTGTGAGTGCCTGTTTTAAATGATAAAAAGCGATATGAAAATTAGTTTCCCTCCTTGTATTAGAATCACGTATTGACTTTTGATATTTGTCTTTCTATTCCTTTAGCAAGTGGGGTGTTGATGCTGCTGCACGTATCTCCCATTTTGCCCTTCTGCTTTGTGTAAAAGAATAGCAAAACATGCCATCTGTGTGTGCAATTTCCTTGAAGTATTTTACTTCAAGGTTCCCTAAACTTTGGATCTGGGAGGTGACCACTCCTTTGTCTATGATGAAAGCCCAGCGGTGATGCAGGCACTTGCTGAGGTCACAGTGGTTGCCGGGCTGGGAGCGTTTGTGCCCCAGCTGGGAGCAGAGCTGGTGCTGTAGTGAGCGTGGTGCACACTGAGACCGAGCTCTGTGCTTTCATTGAGAGATCTTCCTGTGAGAGCCCACTGGAAGCAGCGCTGCGGCGTGTGTGAGAGCTGGGCACAGCTGCGGCTGAGCAGTGGCCAGGTGAGCTGGGGTTGGTGCTGGGTGTCTCAGCAGGAAAGCTGGGCTGGGGTGGGCACGCTGCGTCAGCCCTTGTCCTGGCTGGCGGTGAGACAAAAGGAGTTTTCTTCACGACAGCAACACCAGCCGTGTGCTTGAAGGTGCAAAACTATGGAGGAGATGGAGAAGAACGCTTGCTGTCAGAACTCATGGCAGCTGTACGGGAGCTGGATGTATTTTGGAGACAGTTGTCATTAGCAGTTGGTTTTGAGTATTGCCCTGCCCGATAGCTTAAACTGCAGAGCAGAAGAAAGCTGGGAAAATGCTTTTTCCTATTTTTCCCCTGCAGGTTCTTTCTTCAGGGTTGGTTTACAAAAGGAGATTTTGGGGACTGAGGCAGTTGAAGAGTGAAGCCAGCTCTTTCCAACAGCAGGGGGTCAGTCCCTGTGGAGAGGACCCCAGGAACGTGAGCTTCCTCTGAGACATTCCCCAGCATGTCCCAGCAGGGACACAGACGCGGTTCCCATTCCTGCTTTGCGCGTGGAAAGGTATGGCTGGGTTTCTCTAACTTGGGTTTTCTTCCTTTCTCTGGTTCTGGAGGGGAAGGGGTGGAGCAGGGGGAGCCCTGCTGGTCCTTAGTGAGCTCAGTAACCAGTTGGCTTGTGCGGTGCAGCAAAAGGACAGCATTGCCAGGCTCCTTAACCTGCTGGGGCAGGGTGGGAGCCGAGAGCGGGCGCTGCCCTCCTGCCATCTGTCCCTGGTTCTGGTTTGCCATGTTTGCTCTGGGTTTCTGCTGAGAAGTTTGTTCTAGCTGCCTGCAGCAGTACAGGGTGGGGAAGAAATGATGGTGAAGAGCTAAGGCTGCGCACGGTAATTTTGCACGGGTTGAACTGTGGCACCTGAAGACACTGTTTCCCTTGGAATAATGCTGGTGTTTGCAGGTGTGTTGGTGCAACCCCCTGAAGTGATGTCTGAGAGCGCCTGTCTTCTGCACCTGAACGATAAGAAAGCTGGATATGCCCAGAAATTGCAGCTTGTGCAGATGTTGTGAATGCGCTCCCAGTGTTTCCTTTAGTGATAACTCAGCGCTCTCTGGCACGATCTGGAACCCTGCATCTCTTTGCAAACGTTGGTGCCTGTATCCATGGGCCCTCCTTTTTTCTCTCCTCAGAAGCAGCGCCGTGCTGTTCCCCATGCTAGGGAGCAGCAGCCAGCAGGCTGCCCCAGTGCCAGCTGGGCCTTGCAGCGCGCAGAGGGACGCGATGGGGATGGACCATCCTTAGCACCATGCAAAAGTGAGTCTCTTCAGTCCTCTGTCATGAAGGATGGAAGAATGAGTATTGCTTCTGAGTTGGTGCAGTGCTGTAGGGATGTCCAGTAACCATTGTGGAAGCATTGGGGAGGCTGACAGTGACAGCTGATGGCAGCAGTAAGACAGAAGTCTGTGTGTCAGTGGTGGCGCTCAGAGCTGAATGAATTCCCTTCAGAGACAAAAAAACCCATGTCTCAACTTGTGCAGCGTTTTGTAGAGCTGTCAGGCAGCCCTGGGTTCCTCTGCTGCCACCTGAGCAGGAATGAGAGCAGTAATGCTCTGTGTAAGCGCCCTGCAGTTTAAACATCAGTTTCTGTTTTGGCTGTAGAACAGTGTCTTTTGGTTTCTGGGGGGTGGATGTGGGCTAAGAGGACAGCGCTGCTCCTGGGAAACCAACACTCAATCTGTTGTTGTAGGGATGGAGCCTGCGCGTCCATGGAATGGTGCTGGGCATGGGGGGAAACGGAAAGCCTCCCCAGGTAAGAAGCTCTTGTGAGCTGTGGTGTGGGTACCTGCCTCTAAACAGGGCTGCGTGAAGGGGCGTGTGATGGAGGAGAGGGGAAAGGGCACTGCAGCTCTCTGCTGACTGCAGAAATGGCGGACCATTGTAGCAGCAGAAGGGCAAGTTGAAAAACCTACGCTTGAGGAGCAGAAGTTTGTGGTTGGCTGTGCTAAAATGTTCCTCCAAAGAGATGCTCTTCATGTCTGTCTTGTTTCCTTTCTGTCAGGAGCTGATGACAACAGGC